CAGCCGTGAGAGGGTCTACGGGAGCCACAGAGATCTGGGGGGGACTATAAGGCGTCGTGTGCATCCTCCTGGCTCCGGCTGCCCAGGGAGCCATGTCTCTGCAGGAAGGAGTACCTTTGGGCCTCAGTAATGGAATACAGGCAGGTCCCACTGCGAAGGACCCATCTCCTCCTGGATGATGTGGAGGCTGCATATTTCCATCACTTGCATGCATTAAATCCAAACCTTTTCACTCAAGCCCTGGCTTAAGAACCAGGGAAAACCAGATGCCCTCTTGTGAAGCCCCCCAAATGATGTTTTCATACCAAACCAGCGCTTTCCCTAACAGATCAGGGGCTCCTCTAATCAAGTGTAAAAATAGTTTGTATAGAGCAAACTCACTGTTCTCATGAGTGGAACAAAGACGAGAAGCACACATTTAAGGTAAAATGAATTCCCTTGCCGGGCACGGAGGAGCTCTGACTCTGCCCCTCCAGCTCCCTTCTGCCTGCCCAGGACCCCGTCCTCCTCCTGTCTGCTGGGCTCCCGCCTGTGGTCCCCAGTGGGTGAGCCTCCTGAGAGCAGGGTCTGATTCAGTGCCCGCGCACCATCCTGCTGCCATCAGCTGCCCTCGTTCCGGCCCCCAGTACATGGCACAGTGCGGACGTGAATGAGCCCAGCAGCAGAAACTACAGCATCCTGGCCCAAGGGCAATCTAAGCTTTGACTTGATTCATTTAATGTAAATAAACAGTCAATCCTGTGCACCCCGGAGGGGTGGCGCGTGTGTGTTTATGTTTATCCCCTCTGCGGCAAGCCCCTGGTGTGAATAAGAGGCTGGTGCCTACCTCATGATGTCATTGACGGCACACTAGCCCCTCCGTGTCCAGGCCATCTGTTGGGACCCGGAGAGGGAGGGAGGGGGGGACGTTATGCTCCTTTAGGGTAACAGTTCTGAGATCATCTACATTTTGCTAATGGGATTAGGATGAAGATTATTATCAGAAAACTAATAAAGGCTATTGCATGAAATACCTTAAGCTCAATGACTGGTACCCTGAGTGAGTTAGTTTGGGAATGAAACTGTCTCTTCAGAGCCCTGGCATCAGGCCCAGGGCAGCGTGAGCCCCGCGTCCCTCCTCCGCCTCCTGTCACCTGCTGGGCGGTGCCCACGCAGCAGGGCAAAGGTGAAGGGCGTGTGGCAGGCACGTCTGCGTCAGTCGGACCCACGAGCTCCGGGGATCAGTACGGGTGAAGCCAGAGTGAGCAGGCTGGCCCCTCGGCGGCCTGAAAATGAACCCATCTACCAAACTGAAACTCTTCTGCACTTGGACAAAAAGTAGATTTTAAAGTTTACGTGGTGATTGGGAAGGATAGTTACTACTTGAATACACTTAGCATTGGCTGGAATATTCCTTAAAAATTGTTGAGCTGGAAATAACTTGGCACTACGGAATACAACGGTAAGCCCCTTGGGGCAGAGGCCACACCCTCAGTTTGTGCCATTTCCTGGTCTCTACCTGCCTCCCCCAGCACTGATCCCGGGGTGTGACGACTTCAGGAAAACCTGGGTAGCAAGTATCAGTTTAGGAAATCTAAATCGATGTACTCAGGTTTTGTGAATAAAAAATCCTAAATTTGTGTTTTCAAAAGTATTCACAAAAGTCTACTTCAAATAATAGATGTCCTCGAAGCACTTAGAATGTTGTTGTTGTTGTTTTTTACAAATGTTTGTATGTTCCAGGTACATCATGGTAACTTGGGAGGTAAATAGGTAGTATGGAGAACAGGATGGCACCCACTCCAGCACTCTCGCCTGGAAAATCCCACGGATGGAGGAGCCTGGTGGGCTGCAGTCCATGGGGTCACAGAGTCGGACACGACTGAGCGGCTTCCCTTTCACTTTTCACTTTCATGCACTGGAGAAGGAAATGGCATAGTTGTCCATGGTCATTCTGCCACAAAAGAGCAAAGTCGGATGCTTTTGCTACTCTTCCTCTTCAAACAGCAGATTTGATACATGCATGTGGACTTGATTAGACAATTTATTCTCCAGGAAGCTATCTGTACCATCTCCTCTGTTGTCTGTAGTGGTGGCAAATGTATCCGTACATCTAACACTTCTTTTAAGAGGCAGAGCCTAATTCTCCTCCTCTGTGTATGGGTTGGACTTAGTGACTCGTTTTTAAGGAAGTGAAAAAAGGTGGAGGAGACGGTGCATGCTTTTGGAGACCAGGTTATAAAAGGTACTGCAGCTCCCTCTTTCTCTGGATTTCTGGTTCTGCTGGAAGCTTGGTAGCATGTGTGAGGATATAACTCAGCCCCTGGAGAGGCCCAAAGCGCAGGGAACTGAGGCTTTCAGCCAAGAGCCTTATGAGTGAGTCATCTTGGAAGTGGGTGCTCCAACTCCAGTCAAGCCCTCAGAGGACTGCTGTTCAGTTGCTCAGTCCTGTCTGACTCTTTGCGACCCCACGGACTACAGCACACCAGACTTCCCCGTCCTTCACCATCTCCTGGAGCTTGCTCAGATTCATGCCCATTGAGTCAGTGATGCCATCCAACCATCTCATCCTTTGTCATCCCCTTCTCCTCCTGCCTTCAATCTTTCCCAGCATCAGAGTAGCTTTTTGCATCAGGTGGCCAAAGTATTGGAGCTTCAGCATTATTCCTTCAAATGAATATCCTAAAGGGTTGATCTCCTTTAGGATGGACTGGTTTGATCTCCTTGCAGTCCAAGGGACTCTCAAGAGCCTTCTCCAGCACCATAGTTCAAAAGCATCAATTTTTCAGCACTCAGCCTTCTATATGATCCAACTCTCACATCCATACATGACTATTGGAAGAAACATAGCTCTGACTATATGTACCTTTGTCAGCAAAGTGACATCTCTGCTTTTTAATATGCTGTCTAGATTTGTCCTAGTTTTTCTTCCAAGGAGCAAGCATCTTTTAATTTCATGGCTATAGTCACCATCTGCAGTGATTTTGGAGCCCAAGAGAATAAAGTCTTTCACTTTTCCCCCATCTACTTGCCATGAAGTAATGGGATTGGATGCTATGATCTTAGTTTTCTGAATGCTGAGTTTTAAGCCAGCTTTTTCACTCTCCTTTTTCACCGTTATCAAGAGGCTCTTTAGTTCCTCTTTGCTTTCTGCCACCAGGGTGGTGTCATCTGCATATCTGAGTTTGTTGATATTCCTCCTGGAAATCTTGATTCCAGCTTGTGATTCATCCAGCCTGGCATTTTGCATGATGTATTCTGAATAGAAGTTAAATAAGCAGGGGGACAACAGACAGTCTTTACGTACTCCTTTCCCAATTTTGAACTAGTCTGTTGTTTCATATCTGGTTCTAACTGTTGCTTCTTGACCTGCGTATGCGTTTCTCAGGAGGCAGGTAAGGTGGTCTGGTATTCCCATCTTCAAAAATTTTCCACAGATTGTTGTGATCCACTCAGAGGAATGTTGCTCTGGACAATTGGTTGAATACGATTCCATGAGAGATCCTGAGCCAGAACCACCAAGGTAAACCACTCCTAAACTTCTGACTCTCATATAATGTTGGACACAACAAATCTTCATTGTTTTAAGCTGTTGAATTTGGGGATAATTTATTATACAGCAATAGAAAACTAATACACTCCCTTATTATCACTTTATATTTACTCCCATCCTCTCTTGACCTTCCTCCAATTTTATAGGATAAAATAGGATATTGTGTGTTTTTGGAGGCAATGATGGACACATTTTTTTTCAGCTCTGATATTTTTTGTTATATTTATTTAATAGCCTTTTTCAGTTAAAATTCACATGACACAAAACAGGCCAACACAGTTTTGAAATTGTGGTTAAAAACTATACAATGTAAAATTTATCATTTGAATCATTTAAAGTACAATTCAGAGGCATTAAGTGCATTCATGATGTTGTACAACCATCACTACTATCCAATCCCAGAACCTTTTCATCTCCCAAATGAAAACCCCATACTCACGGCTGACACATTTTCAAAGATAAATTTAATTTTTTGTCCCCTACATCTGGAATAATCAGATAGTAAAAAGGAAATTAAATAAACAAAACCATAGGTAAACCAAGTCAGAAAGAAATACTGTTAATACTTCTAGTGACAGCCTGTGAATCTGTCTACATTCCTGTACAGAATAAGAAAACCCAATGACATTCTATTATGGATAACATAAGATCTCAAGTAAAAGTTTTACCAAAAAATCAGTCCTTAAAATTCCTTTTGAGTCCATCGAGTGCAGAACATCCACATGGTACACAGCAATCAAGGACCTAGGATTGGGAACAGCTGCTGGGAGGACAGCAGGAGGAGAGAACAGGTGTCATGCAGTGATGGCCTCCAATCTTACAGTATTAACAGTACCTCCACCCCCGGGGTTAGAGGGTCCAGAAGGAACATTGGGCTCAGTTATTCATAATATCTGCCACAGGCTTGAGAGTGAGAGTTAGAAGCACCCTGGCCAGCTGCATGCCGGCCCAGGCATGGGGGGCAGGATGGTAACAGGTGTCATTAGTTCTAGCACCATTTCTTTCCATTCATCGTATTTTAACACAAACTAGTTGTCACCAGAGGATATTGCCGCTGAACTGAAGGATGGCTGTGCCATGACCTATATCGTATTTGGTGGTTTTAGTTTCCAGTGTCCTTTGCAGAGGAGAACTGAGGATTATTGGCAGGAGAGTCCCTTCAGCAGGCATATTTCTTGCCCTTCTCCCTCTGGAAGACATCACAACTTCACCATGGTGTCCTAGACTGCCCAGATATGTGCTCCTATCCCAGTAGGGCAGCTTGAGAACAGAAAAGTGACCATTGGAAGATAGTTATATTCAGCCCAGTACTCAGCTCATTGAACTAGCATCTTCCCTGGTGTGAGACTTTCTCATTTATTCATTTGTTCATTCACTCACTTATTTTTTAAAAAGGTGTACTGAGTGCCTTCCATGCAGTAGGCATTGATCCAGGCATTGGAAATAAGCATTGAATGAAACTCAGTAGGGCAGCTTGAGAACAGAAAAGTGACCATTGGAAGATAGTTATATTCAGCCCAGTACTCAGCTCATTGAACTAGCATCTTCCCTGGTGTGAGACTTTCTCATTTATTCATTTGTTCATTCACTCACTTATTTTTTAAAAAGGTGTACTGAGTGCCTTCCATGAAGTAGGCATTGATCCAGGCATTGGATATAAGCATTGAATGAAACAGTGGAGTTCATGCAAAAAAAAGGGAATGTAGATTTTGGCCACATTTTCCTGAGTTTGACACTCTTTGAAGCTCATCTGAACTTGTTCATGTTAGTAGGATGTTGGTGGGGCTGAAAAAGAGCTGGAAGATCAAACTGTGTATGCTCTTCCCCCAACCTTAATAAAGGGAGTAAAGCTGAGAAAATAAGAGAAACATGGATATGCCTTCTGTGTTATTGAGGTCCAGTATCCCACATGCTGGCCATTTCCTTTCTCAAACTGCATACTACTTGCATCATCTCAGAACAATATTATCCTTTCCCAAGGTTTCTCCTCACTTCTAGTGAAGAACAGTGCAACTAAATATATTTTGACACTTAGCCATAATCATGAGAATAAACTCCATGCAACTAGGAAAAAACATCTCCGAGCAGATGACAGAGACCCAGGTACTGCCATGAACATGCCCACAGAGCTAGACTCGCCGTTCTTTCTAGGTAGCCCTCCAGCTTCAGGGTCAGGGGCAGAAGGAAGGCAGGACTCAGCAGTGTATCAGAGACCAGTGGTGCTCATAGTGGAGAAGCAAAGCAGCCTTCCCAGGCGCAGGATGCCTGAATCAGAGGAAAGGCAGAAAAAGAACCCCAAAGGGCGTAGGGGTAGCTGGCAGTCCAGACAAGATGAGCAACGGTTGGGAAAAACCGGGGGATAAAAACACATTCCTTAATCGTAAAGCCCAAAACTAAGGAGCAGGCATATTGCCAAACTCATGTTAATAATGAAACAAGCCTTATGCTCTGTGACAGGATGAGTGATGAGGTGAGTGATGAGATGCATGAGCGAGGGGTGAACCAAGGCGGGTTATTCACAGGGGATGCCTGAACAGGATCTCTCACAGGCAGGAGAACCCGTGGCCAACAGAACCATTAAGGACTGTCTAACCCTTTCATTTGTTACAAGAAACGTGAGTCACTCCAATAAAACCCGGCTATTGCAGAGGGAAATCTAACATTTGACTTGTGAGGCAAAAAGAACCAGCTGCTCCAGCCTCCAAGACTCAGTAACTTCCTCTTTTAAGTCAAGTTCCCAGCAATCCCGCAGCTCAGGAAAGGGAGGGTAAACCCAGTCACCCTCCCCTCTGGACACATACCCCAGCCAACAGCATCAGTGTTCAGATTTTATCAGCACCTCAATTGCACCAGGGGTTGAAATTAGACAACTCAATGTGATTTAGGAGCAAGAGCAGGGCCAGGGGCACCCAGGCTGGGAGAACAAACGAGACAAGAATCACATGAGTAAAGGCCTGGAGTCCAACTTGCAGAGAGGCTTTCAAGCTGCCCTCCAGGCTGCCTAAAATCCTACATCCAAGGGCCCCAGGCCCCAGTGGCCTTGGGATCGCAGCGGGGGTCTTGTGCCGGGAAGTACACAGGCACTGAGTGTTTCTGGTAGAATTGCAGGCGGGAAAGCAGTTTCTTGACGATGTGGGGATATTCTCTAGACAGGTCATGCCTTTCTTCCGGGTCCCGGTCAATGTCAAAGAGCCAGAGGGTCTTGGCTGGTGGGTCCGGTGAGGGTATCACAGAAACATTATACTGAGATGGTGGGGGAAACCAGTGACCACAGCCTGGCAAAGAAACACAACAGTTTATTGGAGGAGAAGCATTGTGGGTAGGCTCTACCTTCAAGGAAGGAGTTTAGGGGATAAGGTTGAGCTAGGTTGTGGGTATGGCCACATTAAAAAAAATGTGGCCCTTGACGCTATGTCTAGATTTGTCCCAGACTCTGACTTCTGGTGCTTTAATTAAACATGTCTCACTGCTTCACAGTGGGACTGGGGCTTCCAGGAAAGAGCATGCATGTGTGTGCATGTGTGTGCATGTTGTGTGTGTATGCACAACTGTGTGTGTATCTGTGCATGTGTGTGTATCTGTGTGTGCATACGTATGTATGTGCAAGTGTATGTGTGTGCATGTGTGTATATCTGCGCATGTGTGCATGCGCATGTGTGTACATGTGTGTGCATGTGTGCATGCGCATGTATGTATATGTGCGTGCATGTGTGCATGCATGTGTGTGTATGTGTGTGTGTGTCTGTGTGCATGTTGTGTGTGCATGTGTGCACATCTGTGCATATGTGTGTGTACGCATGTGTATATCTGTGTGTGTGTGCATGCGTGTGTGTGTACGTGTGTGTGTACACGTGTGTGCACATGTGTGTACATCTGTAATGTGTGCACGCATATGTGTGTACATGTGTGTGTATGCATGTGTTTATCTGTGCATGTGTGCATGCATATGTGTGTACGTGTGTGTGTCTGTGTGCATGCGCGCGCACATGTGTGTATATCTGTGCATGTGTGCATGCGTATGTATATCTCTCTCTGCGTGCATGTGCATACATGTGTGTATATATGTGCATGCGTGCATGTGCACATGTGTGTATGTGTGCATGCGTGTGTAGATCTGTGCATGTGTACATGTGCATGTGCGTACATGTGTGTATGTCTGTGCGTGTGTGCATGTGTATGTGTGTACATATCTGTGTGTGTGCATGTGTGCACAAGTGTGTACGTGTGTGTATCTGAGCATGCATATGTGTTTACGTGTGTGTATATCTGTGCATGTGTGCATGCGTATGTGTGTACATGTGTGTCTATCTCTGTGTGTGCATGCGTATGTGTATATATGTGCGTGTGTGCATGCCTATGCCTGTGCATGTGTGTATATCGGTGTGTGTGCATGCATGTGTGCATATGTGTGTCTACCTGTGCATGTGTGCATGCATATGTGTGTCTACCTGTGTGTGCATGCATATGTGTATCTCTGTGTGCATGCACATGTGTGTGCATGTGTGTGCACACAAGTGTGTATATCTGTGCATGTGTGCGCACGCATGTGCATGCACATGTATGTGCTTGTGTGTGTGCACGTGAGTGTGTGTGTGTGTATCTGTGTGTGTGTACATGTGTGTGTAGCAGGGTTATTTCAGTCATTACAGAGAACTTGGGGGCGGTGCTTGGGGTGGGTACTATTGTCATTTAGCAGTCATGGGCCAGGGATGCTAAAATGTCTTACAACTTACGGGACAGTCACAAACAATGAAGGACTGTCTTCCTGCAAACATCAAAAAGGACCTCATTATAAACACTGCTTAATTGCATCACAGTCTTAACCACATACCATAAAACTGTTTAAAAGATGTCACCTCAAGGATGTGCTCAGGGGAAGCAACCCCTCCCCACCACTACACCCCTGGTTGAAGATGTCACTTTCAGAGACTGTCTTTGCTAGCTAGATGTATTGTGCTTGCCGGCCACGCACATCTGAAACCCTTCTTTTCCACGAGGCCCTAGAGCTGTGTTTCTCCCTCTCACCTTCACCCCACCTCTACATGCATGTGTGCTGGGTCGCTTCAGTTGTGTCTGACTCTTTGTGACCCCACAAACTGTAGCCCGCTAGGCTTCTCCGTCTGTGGGATTCTCCAGGCAAGAATCCTGGAGTGGGTTTCCATGCCCTCCTCCAAGGGATCTTCCCCACCCAGGGATTGAATACATGTCTCTTACATCTTCTGCTTTGGCAGGCGGGTTCTTAACCACAAGCGCCACCTGTGAAGCCTCCTCCTGCCCCAGCACCACCTCAACAGTTAATTCCTAATTTTTAAAAATGTAGGATGAGATTACACCCCTCCCTCTCATTCAGCAGTCCAGAGATGGTGTTCTGTGAAAGGCAGTTATTCTTTGGAAAATCCTCCCAGCTGTTCCAGTGGGAGATGCTAGGCCTTCTACCTGGGTAGCCTGTGAGCAGTTTCCAATTCTGGTATCTAATGGCAGCATGGATAGATGTGTTGAAGGCTGAATGTTCCAGACGGGAAGAATCATCCTTGGCTGGAGCCATGCTGCTCCCAGGACCTGAGGAGAGGGTTTGGGAGAATTGGATCACTGTTATTGGAACGTGTCATTATAAATCAATGTTTTATATCCCTCCTGCAGAACAGTAGCTTTTATTCAACACTGGAGCATAAATGTGTATCCTGCCACAGGAATGAATCTTCTATTAAATATAAACAGAGAGCTCAAGTTACATGAAACATCAGCCATAAACCACCACATATATAAAGGAAATCCCAAAGAGATTAGAACACTAATTCAACCTTAAAACCACTGTGTTCTGCCCATGTACAGATGGCCATTTCCAGACCTGTGTACTGTGACAGCATGCAGGGTTGTTTTTTTGGTACCTTTTGTTTTTGCTATGGCATGATTGAGTTAAATAAATCTGTGTACACTTGTATACCTATGTAGATAATATGATACATTATAAAATGTACATCTTAATGGAGTCTGTCTCAAGTTATTCAAGCATGCCATGATAAATCATACATTCATTTTTTTTAACCCCACTTATGAAATCTAAATGTAAGTGAGCGATGCTCACTATCATTCTAGTATATATATATTATTGGTTGATGTCATATGGTCATGCGTGCTCAGTCACGTCAGATTCCTTGTGACCCCACGGACTGGAGCCCATCAGGTTCCTCTGTCCGTGGGATTCTCCAGGCAAGAATACTGGAGTGGGTTGCCTTTACCTTCGCCAGGGGATCTTCCCAACCCAGGGATTGAACCAGCGTCTCCTGTGTCTCCTGCATTGGCAGATGGATTCTTCATCACTGTGCCACCTATACTGTATCCCACTGATATCATGGATTATATTAATTTATACTATTGAGGTTTTATATTAACTGATCATCAGGTTGTGGTGGGGGAGGGGGACACTTGATAGCACCTGCTCCCTCTTTCCCTCTTGAGTTTGGAACCAGTTGAGGGGTAAGAGGCCAGACGGATGGAGCTAAACACATGGCCTTTGTTACTGATAAAGCTGGTTGAAAAAAATGTAGCTTCAGATCTGTGGCAGGGAGGCTGTGCTAATGACTGACCCTTGTGTATTGACATATATCCCAGGGACAGGCTGGCTCCAAAATTAGACAGACAAACGGGTCCAAATAGAGCATGCTCAGTTCCTTCTTTTAGATAACTTCCTCCTGCTCCCGCTTGCGGGGAGGAGCAAATAAGGCGCAGAGAGAGACCTGAGTTCTACTCCGGTTGAAGACCCTGGTGAATCCCCAAAGGTAAGGTATGGAGGTTCCCCCCCCTTACCTGTGCATGTTTAAACATCTCACCTTAGCACTTCACTGTGTAATTATTACTCTGCTTTAAATTCACATTTATCTGTTACTTTTCAAATATGGTCACAGCAATTACCTGGGGTGCACCTCCAAAGTCTGCCAGACTCCCCATCCGATGCCTGAGAGCCGCAGTGGGTGACATGTCTGTAAAGGTGCCCTCGCCACCACCTGCCCAGCATCACCTTTGTGTGATCCAGGACTGGAGCGTGCCCTCCACCCCGCCTGAGCCGGACTTCTGTGCTGCAGGCGGTTTAATGCCACGTGGGGAACAGGCAGAGCGTCCCGTCTGTTTGTCAGAACTGTGGCAATGTCACTGGAGAGGCGTGCTGCAGACTGAGCCAATAAACGTCGCTGGTTTCAGACCTTCGGCCCTAACAGTCAGTACTAACAAATCATCAGCACCAAAGAGGAGCTCTTTGGACTTCTTGCCTCTCTGTCTGCTCGTGGCTATGCTGGCTCCAATACAAATTGCTGCTTCTAGAGATCAAGGTGTGTGAGGATGTCTACTTGACTGTAAATTCCATGGACAGAGAAGCCTGGTAGGTACAGTCCAGGGGCTGCAATGAGCCAGACACAACTGAACACACACACACACACACACACACACACACCATAGGAACTACATTCTTAATATACAGACTGGTGGAACTGTGAGCCCTCATAATCTACTGCTCGCTTGTATACAAAAACCACATTTTGATAACAAAGAATGCTAAATAAAATGAGGACGCTTTGTGAACATAAACAAAGGAAGGAAATTTAGCTATTTCAGCTATACTTATATACATTCACTTTTAAAACAAACAGGAACATAAAATACCTAAACAATAAATAAGTCTAAGGCTAAATTATGAATAAATAAGTCTACAACTAAATGACAAAAGATACTGCTATCTCAACTTAAGTTTTATTCATTGGGAGAAATTTTTTAAAAAAGCAAACTACAAAGAATAATATAATGAACATCCTGTGAGCTGTCACTCAGAATGAATAAATATTAACATTTTGTCATATCTGCTTTCTTCTTTCAATTAGAGAAGTAGTACAAGGAAGATGAAGTGACAGATCCCTTTTCTCCATCTTCAATCCCCGTCTCTTCACCCATCACCCCAGTGGCTGCTGCTATCAGGACTTCAGTGCATCTTTTAGCCATTTAAAGATACAGTAACAGATACATGTGTCAAGGAATAATGCATGGTAGTTCTATACTTTAGAAATGTACATGTATGTGTTATGCTATATCTATTTTGCAACTTGACTTTTTTATCCACTACTGTGTTTTTCAGAGCTCAGAGATTATGTATATATGTATATGTATGCTTATTCCTTTTAATTATTTCCTATTTCACTGCATAAAACAGCACATTTTGTTTATGCATTCCCCTTTAATAGGAATTTAGGTTATTTTACTTATTTATTTATTTTTGCTATTAGCGTTGACCCTTCACAATATGGGTTTGAAATGCATGGGTCCACTTATACCCAGATTTTTTTTTTCAAGAGTAAATACTATAATACTACAGAATCTGAGGTTGCTTTAAACCACATCCAGCATGTTATGTCCCTCTGGCAGTGTTTGAGGGTTTCAATTTGTCCATAGATTTGTCAACACTTATTACTGCCTGTCTTTTGTTACAGCCTATTGGGTATGACATTTTATCTCATTATGGTTTGGATTTGCATCTCCCTGATGACTAATAAAGTTGAGCATCTTTTCATGTGTTTGTTGGCCCCTTGTATATCCTCTTATTTGGGGAAAACTATATTCAGATCCTTTCATTATTTAGTTGTAAGGGTTCTTTATATATTCCAGATACAAGTCCCTCCTCAGGCGCAAATATTTTCTCCCATTCTATGGACTGTCTTTTTCACTTTCTTGATGGTGTTTTTTGAGGTACAAAAGGTTTAAATTCTAGTGAATCCCAGTTTATCTAATTTCTACTGTACTGCTTATGCTTTTGTGTCAGATCCAGAAAATCACTGCTTCATCCAAGGTCATGAAGATTTACATCTATATTCTCTTTTAAGAGTTTATAGTTCAGTACTTCTGTTTAGATCTTTGATTCACTTTGAATTATATTTATATGTGGTGAGAGGTAGGGGTTCAGTTCCATTCTTTTGCATGTGGAAATCCATTGTGTCTGCACCACTTGTTCAAGAGACTATTATTTCCCGAACTAATGCTTTTGACATTCTTGTTGAAAATCAGTTGACTGTAAACGTAAGAGTTTATTTCTAGACTCTCAATTCTATTCCACTTATCTATATGTCTACATTCTTAAGTCAGTATCTTGATTATTGTAATTATTTGTAGTAAGTTTTGAAATCAGGAAGTATGAGTAGTTCAATGTTTTTGGTTTTTTTCTCCAAGATTGATTTGGTTGTTCTGAGTCCCTTGAATTTTTTTTTTTTTTATGAATTTGAGGATCAATTTCATCAATAATCTGCCAAGAGTCAGCTGGGATTTTGTTAGGAAGTGTATGAAACTCATAAATCAATTTAGAGATTACTGACATCTTAATATATCATCTTCTAATCCATGAACATGGGATATCTTTTCATTTATTTAGGTCTTCTTTAAGCGTTTTACAGTTTTCAGAGTATAGCTTCTGTACTTCTTTTCTTAAATTTACTCCTAAGTATTTCATTCCTTTCAGTGCTATTGCAAATCAACTATTTTCGTAATTTCATGTTTGATTTGTTCATCGCTACTATATAGAAATACAGCTGATTGGTATACATTTCTCTTCTATTGTGCAACCTTGTAGAATTTGTTTATTAGTTCTAATAGTTTTTTAGTTGACTCCTTGGGATTTTTTAAATACAATCTCATGTCATTTACAAATATGCATAGTGTTACTTCTCCCATGTTAACTTGAATACCTTATTTCTATTTTTTACCCAACTGCCCTGTTAGAATCTCAATACAATGCCAAAACAAATGGTGAAAGCCAACATCCTTGTCTTATTCCTGATCTTAGGGTGAAATATTCAATCTTTCACCATTCAGTAGGATGCTAGCTATAAGTTTTTTTTTTTTTTTTGTAGATGCTCTATCAAACTTGTCCCCTTTTATTCACAGTTTGAGTGTTTCTATCCAGAAAAGGTATGACATTTGCCAAAAGTTCTTTTCTGCATCTGAGATTACTAAATATTTTTTGTCCTCTAGTCTATTTATATGCTATATTACATTAATTGATTTTAGCTGTTAAACTATCATCACATTCCTGGGATGAACCCACTTGGTCATGTTGTATAATCCTCTTTATATGTTGCTGAATTCTACTTGCTAGTATTTTGTTGAGGATTTTTGTATCTATATACATAGAAGTATTGAATTATTAAATTGGTGTCTTCATTATTAAACTGAGTGTATTAAATACACTGTTGAAACAAAAGACGAGAAGCAGAGATTTCTTAGAAAGTTAATGACTTTCAGAATTTTTCTGACATAGTTGGACTAGATCCAGATTTGAAAAGTAAAAGTGAAAGCGAGTCTCACAGTCCTATCTGACTCTTTGTGACTCCATGGACTGTAGCCTGCCAACTCCCCTGTCCATGGAATTCTCCAGGCAAGAGTACTGGGTTGCCATTTCCTTCTCCAGGGAATCTTCATGACCCAGGGATTGAACTCGGGTCTCCTGCTTTGCAGGCCAATTCTTTACCAACTGAGACACTTAGGGAAGCCCAGATTCAGAAAATATTTATTAACAACTAAGTGAT